GTTTCTTAGACCATTTTTCAACATCTTAGACTTGGAAAAGACGAATCGATTCGGCTTGTTACTGTTGAGATTATTTAACCTAGATTTTGTAACATATTAATTAAATGTTTGTTTGTTAGTAGGTTAGTAAAGTAAATAATTATAAATGTTAGTAAATGTTAATGCTAAAAATTGATAAATACTCCGGAGTAGCTAATAATAAGGACATAATTTGTTAATACACTTCACACCACAACACACACTACACAACAGTATGAAGTGAGCCAAGAAGGGAAAACAAGAGTTGCCACAGATACCGGGACTGGACACGTCAAAAAGGGAACATAAACCAAGGGTATAGAAGAAGGAGGGTCAAGCTACCGGGTAATAACTTGATAAGCGTCTTTCTTATCCAGAGCTTCGAAGCGTAAAGTTTGCTATCATCCATAAAAACAAATCAGAGATAAAGTTAAAGAGAAAGAAGTTTATTTGAAATCACCGTTATCAAATTTGATTTGGAAGTTAAATAGGAATCAGGTATGGAGTAAAAGGACATAGCACAAAACAGAATAAAGTTAAAAAAATACCCAGTAGCCCTCCTAATACCCACCCTGGGACGTTCTTTCCTTAGGACCCATTATTAATCGCCTGAATTGTCCAGAAAGTTATCCGCCATTCCGGCGTGCGATTGGACTTCTAGCGCCGACGTCTGAAGGAGTGTGATCCGCCAATCCGGCGTACGATCCTCTACGACGAATGTCCCTCTTGGATTCGGCGTAGGTATTACCCCGAGCGTCAAGGCAAAGGCGACATTCCCGCATTTCGTGCTTGCATCCGGCCGCATCGTGAGACACTACCCACATACACACACACACAGTAAGTCGAAATAAAAAGCTAATTAACAAGAGAGAAAGTGCTTTCAATTCCTTGATCGAACAATCCTACCTACAGCCGACCCTGAAGGGTCCTAAAGCCACCACAAAAGAGGTTGTTGTAGAGCCCACCCTCAGTGATCCCCGTTGGCTAGACCAAGGATCGAGGGCCTAGCGAAGAGGTCCGTCTGACCGCTTTTAACAAGCTCATCACCTGAAGCATTTTATGGAGCATGAGGGAAATAAGATCTCATTCCAATTTATGTCGAAAGCAGCGCTGTCGACGTACGTTTGCATGATTTCCCAGGTGACATGGAGAATGTGGCTATCATCGACCATATGCGCAAGTATGAAGAGGTGATAGCAATTCGCAGTGAGGTTTGGAAGAGTTATTTTCCAGGCTTCAGCAATGGAGTGCGTGTTTTAAAAATGAGACTTATTCTTCCCATCCCGTCATTCATTACCGTGGATGGCGAAATTACACTGGTATCATACCCAAACCAAGTAAAAACATGTCGCAATTGTGAGCGCTAATGTCACCCAAAGCAACGCTGCTCCGATGTGGCTGCAGCAGCAGCAGCAGCAGCAGCAGCAGCAGCAGCAACAGCAGCAGCAAACGAAGACAATACTCTCAGTAGCAGCACCAACAACAACTACGTTAACAGCAAGAACAAGAACAACAACAACGCACACAGACTTTCATCAAACGCAGCCAACAGTAAGCAGTGGCCCTCGCTCCCGAAATCGATACCAAATGCAGACCAACAGCAAAACAACAAAACCGAAATGAAACGCCAGTGATCAGTCGACTTGGACACCACAAACAATGCAACCAAAAAATTGAACGCAAATGACTCAAGCGAAAGTGATAGCAGCCTGATCTCTGTGAGTGGTGATATTTGATACGCAGCGCCCATCTACGATCCCAGATCTTTCGCATATTGATGATCCTGAAGAACGGTGTGCATTGATCGAGGAAAGCAAGAAGAGGATTGATGCCATATGTTTAGAGCAAATTGAAAATAAGAAAAAGAAAAAGAATGTAACTATGATTTATTGTATTTTGATAAACCTCGACTCCGTAAAGTTTAACGGCATTTGAGCCTAACAAATAAACGAATAGTTAAAAAATAATCTAATGAAGAGTTAATTTCTAGAAATATAGAAATTTTCTACATAGGTAATACAGAGAATAAACATTTGTTCAGGCTCCTCTCAAGAAATTCAACATTCAGGATTTAGCAAAAAGCTTTCAAAGTTCTGAGACTTCGAACAGCTGTTAAAATTTCATGCTTACAAAATAATTAAGATCCGAGTCTAGCAAAACTCTTCAAATTAGGTGGAAAAGATTACTCCGTTGAAAACTTCATCTGCACGATGACTGGATAGTTTGATAACTGGTACTTGTCGATGACGATGATCTCGTTAAATCAACCAATTCGACAGGGACATCCACTCCGATACGAACGTTAGCTCCACTACCCGCACCCGTCCCGGAAAATGTTTTACCTCTCCGGAACCGGTTCGAGTTGCCAAACGAAAACGCCGCACACAGCAGAATTTGGAAACCGATCGATTTTTTTTTCCTTGATTTGTTTTCTGTCGATCATGTTTTCCGTGCTGAGCACCAATGCTACCAACGCCAGAGAGGCAGCTCCCACACCTGGACCCTACCCTATCGACCCATCAACTCATGAACCGGGGACCAACGGCTTTACTTCCCTTCGGAAGGAAGGCGTGATCAGAGATGTTATGCCTCAGAACATCCCGGCGACGCCGACTGGGATTGAACCCAGGCCTGCTGGGGTGAGAAGTAATCACGCTTACCACTACACCACCAGCGCCGCTAAAGCCGATCGATGTCGAAGTTTAAAAAAAAATTAATAAGAATAGGTTGAGCAGTAGAGGCAGCAAGAGATAAAAACGTGACATCAAATCCTATGTCCCGATCGATTCGTATACAGAAGTTTCAGGCGGTGCTGTTTGGAAAAGATTCCCCGCGACATGAGGGAGCGCCACTACGCGAAGCATGCCGGCCTGTCGATCTGTATGACGAAACTACTGCCACGGCGATTGTAACCATGAAAGTGCACCGGCAAGTGACGATCTACTGCGACAAATGCAAAGTGCCTAAGAAAGATAAAATTGATAAATAGCAGATTTTTAGCGATGGGCCCAATCTTAGATCCATAGGCCAACATTAGAGCCATTTTCCCTATTACTTACCAAAAAGGTCAACATTATCATTAGTATAGTGGATGAACTGACATTACGCTGCTTTTACTACATTTGTATATTTTTGTGGCCATAAAAATTACATGAGATTTTCGACATGATTGAAGTGTATTGGATGTAATTTTAAAATTTATTTTTTGCTGTGAACCCGATGATGGTGTTGGTTTGCATATGCAAGCTTTGACTCACGAGAAAAGTGCTTTGTTTGCAAAAGCTGATGTGCTCTTTTCTGTTGTTAGTTGTGTTATGCTCGATTGGTTCCGCTATTTGAAAGTTCAATTGGTTCCCGCGATTCTATTCGCCAGACTTTAAATATAACGACTATAAATATGACCCGTTAAAACCTTATTCGTCACAAAATGTTGACACCCAAAGAACGTTAATAAATCATACTTTATATTATTGATTAATTTTATTATTGAGCTGATGATAACATTTATTTTCGATACACTTCTGTAAGATGAAAAAGTGGTGTGAATGTCACAATGGTTAACTATCACTTTTTATCATATTCTAAATCCTTAATAACTCCCAAAAACACTTCTCACGTGAGGACAATATGTTTTGGAAGGATGTAGATCAAATGACGCAAGGCAGCGTAGAAACAGAGAACAATTTTCACTATTTCTACACAAAAATGACGTCCACTATTTAAAAATTCCGATAAATTAAAAAGCTGTTTAAATTATCAAGGAGATATATTTAGCATTGTTTTCATCATGTGATCTTTTTCATTGTAATTGCGAGGTTAAACAAAAATATCTGTTTTCTGAACAATTAACTAAATTGATTTACGTCACCTTGTCATCTCACGGTAGTACGATCATATGCATAAAAACGTTGCGTTACGTTAAGCTGTATTGGATACATATGATTTTTCTTTGGTAAATAATAATAATTAACTTCGATAAACAATTTTTAGTCTATATATATATAAATGAATTTCTGTCTGTCTGTCTGACCCTTATAGCACAAACAAAGTGACAGACGACTAACTGGCGAAGAAATCAATTAAAATAATGTGGATCGCTGTAATAGAATTTTCTTAGAAGCTTGTGCCATCAGCCACCAGATGGGCTAGTATTTTTGTTTTGATTTGAACATAGTTGAATTTGTGTGCAATATGATCTTTGACAGTGTGAAAAGAGTGTATCATTTTGCCATTTTTTATGCATTTTAGTTTAGAGTAGAGGGAAAGAGATAGAACCAAAACATTCTAGTACATTTAGTGTTGCCATGTGGTACAATCCATTAGTAGTGTTGCCATGTGGTACAATCCAGTAGTAGTGGTGTTGCCATGTGGTACAGTGAAAAATTGCAATAGCAGGTGCGATACCAAAGTTTTCGAGCCGGAGCGTCTGTCACTTCGTTTGTGCTTATAGACTCGGAAACTACTGAATCGAAATGAGACAGAAAGATATAGCATGCTTTTTTGAATTGACGCATAAACTCAAACTAATATTGAATCCCGAGCAAGGCCGGACACACTCAGCTAGTAATAAATAAATAAATAAATAAACATGAATTATATTTATTTCGTAAATTATATTTTCAAAACAATTCTATCTGCAAGTGGGATCAAATAGGTTGTTTCGTTTATTTTATACAAGCTTGCATGCAACAGTCTTAACTATACATACATCCCCCGAAACAAAAACGTCACTAAGAAGTAAAACTTCATTAAGCGCCAAAAAATGGTGAGGAACCATTCATAAATGACGTAGCATTTTAAGGAGGATGGAAGTCTGCAGAAGTTGTTAAAGTTCATGTATTAGGCATTGTAAAATACGCTACGAGGGGTGGAGGGGGTCTGAAATTGATCAATAATATGTTACGTAATGTATGGATGGCCCCTTACCTACCAACCAATATATATTTTCAGTCAAAGTTCGGATAAACAGCATAAAAAAGAACTTATCTACAGGTTACATAGTTTTATTATGTATTTATACACAAGTCTCCCTAACCCTACTGGATTTCATTCCTTTCTTGTTGGATTCACTTTTGTCATACAAATTCGAACAAACCACTTCAAGTAGATCTCTGTTAAAGCACTTCACCGTTCCCTCTCAATGCCGCCACTGGCGTGTTTATGTTTCCTTCTTTATGCGCTTGGTAAACCGTTGCTTCTGGATGTTGAGATTTGGCCCCATACGGTGTAGGAATTTTGTTTTGACCTCGTGTGGCATCGTGGAAGTGCTGGTGGAAGTCGTTGCTGTTGACACACCAGTTGCCGCACTGAACAACGGTCCCGGCCCGAGTTCGGATGGTGTAACGTTCGTAATACTTGTCGTGTCAACATGCGTCGTCATCCAGGGTAGACTGAAACTGCTCGTCGGTAGGGCCGGAATGAGTTCTCCAAATGCTTGCACAGGTATGTCCTCGGTTATTTGCACGTACTTGATCGAATCCACCGACGGAAAAAAGGAACCGATGTTCTTCTGTTCACAATCGAAGTCGGTCTTCAAGTGGCGCTTCTTCAAACGCTCAATTGTTTTTTGCTCACGAATTCTTTGTACGTCCCACTTTTTGCGCCGTCTCTCGTCGATTTCAAATTTTGCATGACGTTTCAGGTAAACTTCTTCGCTAATGTTTTCCGAAGTAATCTCACTGGAACTAGAAGCACTTTCATAATTATCTTCGATCACTGTCCAGCAGGGAACTTCCAGCTCGGCCGCTTCGTTCTCCAGAAGCCGATCCAAATCGTTTGTGATTGCTTCATCCTTCCAATTGCAGGTGATGTATGGTTTAGACGTCATCATAAATTTGCATGACTTTCGCATAAAACTGCCATCGGACGAATTTCCCGACGAGCAAATCGGATTGTATGAATTACTTTTTGCCGGTTCATCACTAATAACAATAATCTCAGAATTAGAAGCATGGTGCTCTTCTGGTAGCGAAAGGTTGTTTACAATGCTGTTGCTGCTGTTGTTGGATTCTACTTCGTTCTCGCATTTTATATTTTCCAATGGCTGCGTAGGAATGACGTCATAGCTGTTTGGTGTGCTGCAACTATTGGGATGGGATTCCACGGTCATCGGTGCTATGTCAACCACTGGAGGGTCGTTAGACGGAACAGATTCATCGTCTGATTTTGAGTAGTTTAGAAAAATCTCCTCTTCAATTTCATTATTCTCGATTTTAATGTCTGATTCCAGCTCTCCAGAGAAGTCCTGACAAATAACATCGAAGTTGTCATAGTCATTGCAGATAATTTCCTTTTTGATATTTTCAACTGTGCCGCTCAGTTCTGACAAATGTTCGTGCGGAGCCGGCTCCGTTACGATGCTCGGAATTATGCGGTTGTTGTACTCATACACTTTGTCAACAGTAACATTTCTAATTGGAATGCCTAGTTCTCGTTGCTCCTTCTGGTGTTTCATCTGCTGCAGCCGCTTGTTGACTAGTTCCAGCTGATGTTTGAGCATTTCATTTTCATCCTTCAGTTTGATGATCAGTTTATCTTTGGCCAATATCTGGTCACTTTGCTCCTGTATGAGATCCAAGTGGAGCAGTAGAATGGATTGCAATTGTTTAACCTCCTTGTATAAACTCATCTGCTCGGATGAATCTTTACTGCCGACATCGGTGGACGCCGTGTTGCAATAGACGTGATCCAGGTTCTCCATCATCATGGTTGTTCGCTGGTGCAACTACGCAATCGAAATTACTTCCACGATCACAAAAACCGACTCACTGTAACATTTAATTTCACTTTAAACCGATTTGCAAATTTCTTATCAAGATCAAACACGCCGAAACATAACTTTTCCCTAAAGCCGAAAACAACGCAGTAACGAAAGCCGTTGACGGCACCTGTCAGCAGGCAGCGTCTGGTCAACTGTGGCCCGTGCTGTCAGCCTGACAATACACGGTCGATGTTTTTGCGATGTTTCTTGACAGGGGAGTTCTTCTTTGTTTTTATAATTTTAAATTGAACGTTTTACGATATTTCCGTATCATGTTGTGCGATGAGATATACAATGAACATGATGTAATTCATGCCAATCTGTATTTGATACAGGCTATGCGTTTTTCTTACGGAGCGGAAGCACAATACTGGACGCAGTTTAAACAGTTCGGATGAGGATTCATTTAATGTACATTAGTTCTAAGCGTGATAAATAGGTATCCAACTATTTTATTTATACCTGGATGGTATCCAACTATTTTATTTATACCTGGATGGAGCTTGAAATGAGAGAACTTGAATCATCGAGTATCAGGTATGAATTATTTTTTTGCTCATAATATAAAGAAGAGATTTTCTATCTGCTACGCTAAACCACGTTGAACTCGACAGGTAAGCTGAACAATGGGAATAACCAAATAATCGATTTTTTTGATCGAAATTAGATGCATGGTTGCCAAATATTGCTTGCTGTGCATATCGTACGTTGTTGTTGGTGGTTTAAGGTATAATTAGGGTGGACCAAATCAGGCCAATCCTGGAATACCAAACGCATACGCCTGAAACGGTTAAACACCTTCGCAACATATGAAGTCAGTTGGTTCACAGGAAGGGGTCGTCCAAAGAGCATGACGTAAGTATGGGTGAAATCGTCAAAATGTATGCGAGAACAAGGCACTTTTTAGCCAGTCGCTAAAATGTCTCCTTTTTTTTTTGTAATCGGAGTCACTATTTTTAACATTTTTTTGGGGCATGAATTTGTTTTAAGGTTGATCACTCTTCACAGCTGATTTTTTTCGGTAAAAATATCGTTTGCTGTTTTTCAGTAAAGCATTGGATTGCTGATCATGATCCAGCAATTCGTTAACCGAAAAAATCAGCTATCATAAACTAACACCCAGTCCTTTGACTGTCCCTGTCAAACTGTTAGCATCACAGTCTCAAGTATTTTTGCAGTCGCACACCACTGGTCAAACCGCAGGAAGAGGAAGAGGTAAAAAAACTAAACATAAATAAAATTATGTAGGTAAGGACACTGGCTCGGACACTGGTTAAATTTAATAAATAATACTTGGAAAATAGTCTGGAAATTTTATCTTTATTATTCGTATATTTGTATCAATGATCTTTGACCGAAGCTGGAAGCTCATATAGTGAAAACAAATTCGATTTACTGAATTTAATAGTTTAATCTGCTAAATGTCAGAATTTTGAATTGCTGAAAGATAAGTAAAGAAATATTGCTGATTTTCAGTAAAAGGTTGTCATTTTGACAGAAGTTGGAATTTCTGAAAAATTCAGCAGCATTATTTTGCTGGAACGTTTGCTGATCTTTCATCAAGTCTAAAATCAGCAAAATGTTGCTGATTTTTAGCGATTTAAATTTGGTGTGTTTGGCAAAATTCTATTACTGATTATTCATAAAATGTATAAGTCATCTAATAAGCAGACGCCTTGCAAAAAGTTAATGAAGATCATGTGTCAAATGAAATGTATAAGCGGTCACATATAGCTTTTATGTGGTTTGTCTTGTGGAAAGTATAAGGCTGATGTTTTGGCAAATATGTATAAGTGAAACACAAGAATACAATAATTGATTTTCGTTTCGTGTTCTTGCAGTGTGTAGGATCTGTCCAATCGATGCCTATATTTTGTTCTAATTTTCGAACAATTCGAAGGTTTTGTGCTTCTATAGAGCTTTTAGACGTTTAATCGTATTTCTCTATCTACAGGGTGTCACCAAATCTTGAACGGGTAATTTCCAGGGTTATTATAAGAAAACTATTATTTAATGCGTTGAAAATATTCTTTTGTGAAACAACAACAACAGCAATTATTGCAAACGTTTTTAAGACATGACCGCATGACAATCAGTTTCAAAGAAACAACTTTACAAACAAATCCATGAAATGTTGGAGTTTCGTATTCCGTTTACAAGTTAAAGATATCGAAGATTTTCAAATTGCCAGAATTAAGGAAAACAAAACATTACATTATTTATATAAAGGTTGTAATGAGCTTAATGAAAACTTCAAAATTTTCAGTGAAGTTCCATCAACGGCGCCGGTGGTGTGGTGGTAAGCGTGATTACCTCTCCCCCCAGAAGGCCTGGGTTCAATCCCAGTCGGCGCCGCCGGGATGTTCTGAGGCATAACATCTCTGATCACGCCTTCCTTCGGATGGGAAGTAAAGCCGTTGGTCCCCGGTTCATGAGTTGATGGGTCGATAGGTAGGGTCCAGGTGTGTGAGCTGCCTTCCTGGCACGTCGGTAGCATTGGTGCTCAGCAAGATCGACGGAAAAAAACAAACCAAAGGAAAAAAAAGTGAAGTTCCATTGACTTCACAACAATTGTAGGAACGAAGAAGTTCTAAATACTTTAGATCTAGAGATCTTTGGGAAATTTCAGAGATCTTAATGGCAGTTTCCATAACTTTACCCAAGAATTTTGGAACAATTTGAAGATCTATTGGTGTAAGATTAGAAAAATACACGATAGTTCAATGATGTACTGAAAAAAATCGAGAACCCTTAAGATGTTCCGAAAATTTCAATGAATAACAAAGACCTTCAGAGAATTAATAAAAACTTCAGAGATATTTCTGGAACTTCACTAAAGTCGCGATATTTTCAGGGAAGTTTAAAGGTGTTAACGAGAATTTCATTTATTTCAGAACAGAACAGAGATCCTCAATAGAATTAAGAGCTTCAGGGAAGCTGCGAAACATAAAAACAGATCAGAGAATCGAAGGGCAGTTAAAATAATTTCAAGGAAATTGCAGAGACCTAACAAAAGTTTCGGGAATCCCATGGAATTTCCGTAATCTGCAGCAAAGCTTCGAGAGAATTTCCGGAGCGCAATAAAATGTGAGTGTATTTTAAGGGTTATATTTCATGTAAATTCCTTGAACTTAAAAAAAAATGCGAAAATGTAGCTAAGCTTCAATGCGAGAATTTTTCACAAGCAACGATATCTTTAGAAAAATTCAGAGCACTTCTAAGAAATTGTTATATTTTTAGATAGTTTCATGGTTCCGAATACTTCGAGGACGATCAGATTACTTCAGAAAAACCCCTTTTAAGGGGGAGTTCACCGCTCCGAAAAAAGTAATTACCGTTTGGTTTTTTCTAAAAATATTGAAAAAAGGTATCAAAAATCTAAAAAAATCACTTTTTTATAATTTTTCAAACAAAAAAAATCACATGAAAAAACATTTTTATGAGTCATTTGACTCAAAAAACCTCAAAAAAAATCCGGGGCCATAACTCAACATAAATAAACTGATCAAATTTTGCTTACAAAATGGATTTAAGGCCATTTCATTTGTTGGTCTTGATTTAAAGTATTTTAAGTATTAATTATTGCGTTATGAAGTAGTACCAGCGGGTAGAAACTAACGATTTTAAATTGATTCACTGCTTGAGTCGAGGGGGGCGACACATCTAAATCTCAATTCTAGATGCTCAAAAAATCTCACACTAGCGAATCAATCTTCGAAAAATCATCTTTCATTTCTCGCATTTACTTGCATCGTGCTTCATCTTTTTGCAGGAAATCTTCAAAATCGACATAAATCTTCCTTCTATCTACTCAGCGTGCGTGCAGCTAGCCACAGCAAAACACAATCTTTTCTGCATCGTAGATAGAGTCGTCCCCCTCGGCTTGAGTAGCCTATTCGTCCCAAGTACTTCTATGGCGTACCCCATTCTAGTTGAAATTCTATTACTACACTATGTTTGTTTTGATTCGCTATGAAAGTTTGACAGATAACATCAGGGGTGTGTGGATTCATGCAGAACATGCAGGGGTGAGTGAAATAGCTTGGGACTGCTTGGGACCGTTGTTCTGGTACTGAGTGAGCCAAAAATAATAATGATTTTCTTCGGGACCCAGTGGTCTTAGAGTTACCTCTATGGTAGTACTGTCTATCCGTACTATATGTAATTAAAAGTATTGAAAATGTAATGAATGTACTTTATATACGAAATTTCGACTGTAATTAATGGACTTTAAAAGTAGTTAATGTTCTACACTGTGTAATTATTGTAATTGAAGCAGTATTCAATGGATTTAATTTAATTACAGTCGTTACCTGCGTCGAAGTTAAAGGTTATTGCATGCTCCTAGAAAAATCATCCAATGTTACTTGTCCGATGTACTTCTTTACTAGATTGTTCCAATTTTGGCATGTCGCCTCTTTATAAATTTAGGCTCTTTACCAAAAAGGTATTGAGATATCACAACTACTTAAAAAGGTGGCACGCGGTTTCACGCACACTTTTGTGCATCTGGAGGACTCTATACGCAGAATGATTTCATCAGGAAAACAAATCATAGCGGAAAATTTTCCTGATGAAAACAAATCACTGATACAATCATATTTTAGCAATCTCTATCGTTTGTTTTCGTTTTGTTGTTTATTTTTACTTTCGAATGACAGTTTTTACAGTAAACAAACATGTTTTCACAGATAACAAACATTTCATCTCTAATATGGACCAACAGGTCTGTGCCATAAAAAGGGAGAAAAATTTCATCTCACTGGCACAAGCAAATCGCACCAATACGAACCCGCCGAGAAGATGATTGCTTACATCATTGTGATGAATATACGGGCTAGGATGATTGCAACAGTCTACTTTTTCTAGCATTCAGCACTACGATGTAAGTGTGAAAGAGTAAGAAGTTTTGTTCTGTTATACCTACGTCAGTTTTACCACTCTTAGTTTTCCCAAAACCGTCAGATTTCCCATAAATGTCAAAATCATGTCAGCTATTCTTCGGTGCAAACCGAGGGGCGATTCACTTGTGTATTTTCGATTCTGGCCAACGTATTGATGAGCGTATTGAAGTATTTTTTTATCGAATAAACGTGTATTTTGTGTAATTACGTAT